TGAAGTTGGTTTTAGTTTTACCCATTGCAACCTCAACAGTCGAAAGATGTTTTTCAGCGATGAAGTTGTTAAAGACGGATTTGCGTAACAATATAGATGATGATTTTTTGAACGATGCCATGAGTTCTTATGTTTAAAAAGAAGTACTTATGAAAGTGAAGATCGAAGATGTAATTGATCGGTTTCAAAAAATATGTACCCGTAGATGTCAAATTTAAATATTAAGATGTAATGGATCGGTTTGATGTATTAGTATTTTTAATTTTTTTTATGTTATTATATTCAGACGAAAAAAAAATTATGTCACTGCTATGACAACTTTCTACGTCCGCCACTGTAAAGTGGTTGTGTTTCCACTTTAATGGTTAAAACCTTTGTATGCATTAAGTAAAAAAAAACAAAAATCTAAAATGGAATGTCATAAGACTGATATCCATTAAGTTCTTAAGTAAAAAAGGAAACAGTAGTTGATAGCATCACCGAAATTTTGGGCATGTTTCGAATAAGTTATCTAAGATATATAAATAGAACAAAAAAAACGACCGCCCGATTTTAAAATTAATGTATTTTGCATCAAATTTGTCTATGATTATATTAAAAACAAAATAAATATATGTATGCTTTGATTTTAATTTTTTAAAATTGTACGTTAACCAAAAACTAACCCAAGTTACTCACATTTAACTTTCATAAACCATCAAAATTCATTTTCTTAATACCAATAGGGTAAATATCACTGTAGCCCTATCAACTTTCATGATTTGGTTTAAATGGTCCTTTTTTTTGCATTTAAGGGGAACAAAATGTAGTTTTACCGACTCTTCAAGCCATTCTATAGAAAAAGAAGGGGTAAGTCGGTTAACCCCATCCTACTCAATATTTTTTTAAGACACCTCATGTTAATTTTTGATACGTCGAAAGATTCATTGTCATGTCAATAAATGAGGTTTTGACCTAGTTAACCCTTTTGTAAATAAGTCATTCACCCATTACTATCTTCTCCCCCTTTCTTCTTCTACCATTTCTCTCTTAATCGATACCATGGCCGTGTATATGAAGATAGATCTTCATTTTGCTGGCATTTTTACTAAGTATCCTGCAATAAGTTACTCAGATGGAGCCGAGCAACGCTTTGAAGATGTCGATTTTGCAGGAATGGATGTTAAAGAATTTCTACTATTCATTCAAAGATTCGCGAACAAGGAATGTGTGAATGTGTATTTTTGCATGCCAGATATAGAATTTCCCGAAGGATTGAGGATAATAGCCATCGAGAAAAACTACCAAAAGTTCATTTAAGTTGGGTACGACAACGGATGTGTAATCCAAGTTTACATGGATCATCTTGGTTCTAATGTCCATCCATGGATACTGGATGATGAAGTTGAAGTTTGTAGTCCTGAAGATGAGATGTCGGGTATAGGGGGAATAACGAGGACTTGCATAGCCTGGGACCTTTTCAGAATGAGATCGATGACTTACGAGGTAATGTACATGATGATCTTGATTCCGCTCCTATGAATAAGACCATAAATGATGTTTTTTTGAGCAAGCTATACCCCAAAGCGCAGTCAATCCCATCAAGTCCTCCTGATGAGGAGGCATATTTTCGTATGGATGACAATGAAACAAATGTTGAGGAAGTGACAACCTATAATGAAAATGTTAACTGGAAAACACAAAAACATGTGTTAGGTATGAGATTTGAAATTCCAAAACAGTTAAAACATATGCTATGTAATTATGCTGTGGCAAATGGGTATCAATTGTGTTACAAGAAAAATGACAGTAGGAGACTTTTAGTGAAATGTTGTTCTGGCCAGTGTAAGTTTAAACTTTGGGCCTCATGGATGAGTGAAGAACAATCTTTCCAGATTAAGTCACTCATAGATGAGCACAATTGTGCAAGAAATTTCAAACTGGGATCAATTGTTAGCTATGCTTGGATAGGCAGTCATTTTACATCTAAGTTCTTAAATAAGAAAAAAAAAATGAGTGTTAGGATGCTTAAAGAAGAGGTCAAACAAACTTTTGGAATAGATGTGAGTATGGGACAGTGTAGAAGAGCAAAGAAACATACCATTGAGCTTATTGAAGGAACACTAGTTGAGCACTATGCAAAACTTTGGTCTTATGGAGAGGAGATAAGAAGATTAAACCCTGGATCAACTGTGAAGATTGGTGTCAATAGTATGCCTGATGGGAAGATTTATTTCAGTAACATGTACGTATGTTTTGAGGGACTAAATCAAGGATGGAGAGGTAGTTGTAGAAGAGTAATAAATCTGGATGGGTGTTTCTTGAAAGGCTTATGTACAGGAGAGTTAATATGTGCAGTTGGTAGGGATGCTAATAATCACATATTTCCAATTGCATGGGCAGTTGTTTGTGTGGAAAACAAGGAGAATTGGAAATGGTTTTTGGAGAATTTAAAGGATGATCTAGGATTGGAAAATGGTTTTGGTGTTACTTTGATGTCAGATCAACATAAGGTATGTTAACCACCATATCCTTTAATTTTAGTCTAATTGTTGTTGTTTGTTTTCATAATTTTACTTTTTGGTGTAGGGTTTGTTGGAAGTTGTGAAAGAAATTTTTCCTACTGCAAAACATAGGCAGTGTGCAAGGCATATTTTAGCCAACTTTGGGAAAAGATTTACAGGCGTGCATTATGAGAAGATGTTTTGGAGGGAATGCAAGGCATCCACTAAGCCTTTGTTTAATGCAGAAAGGAAGGAAATCCAAATTTTGAACCATGCAGCCTTTGAATACCTTATGGAGAAGAACCCTAAATCATGGTGCAGAGCTTTCTTTCAAGAGGGTTGGATGTGTGATGCAGTAGAAAATGGACTATCTGAAAGTTTTAACAATGTCATAAGAGAGGCAAGGAAAAAACCAATTATCACAATGCTTGAGGAAATTAGATTGTATGTTATGGAAAAATAGTTTAATTTGAGCATGAAAGGTAGTGCATGGCTTAAGTTTAAACCATGTCCTGCAATTACAACATTACTTAATAAACTTAAAAAAGCTCAAAGGTAAATATTTAATATCTTTAGTTTGATTACTATAAACATAAACTAACTTCCATCCAATGTGTTTAGATACTGGCAGGTTCTACTAACTGGTTTAAACCAGTTCGAGACAAGAAACTTTGTTGAGTCTTACGTGGTGGATTTAGACAAGTAGACCTGCTCTTGTAGAGTGTGGCAACTGAATGGCTATGGTTGTGTGCATTCAGTTGCAACCATTTCCTTTCTTAACAGGGATGTTGGAAGTTATGTGGATCTAATGTACTTTTGGAGCATTTTACAGGAACACTTACAAATATCCAATGAAGGGGATGAACGGGAGCAATATGTGGCCATGTACTAACTATAGTCCACCACTACCACCTTTGAGGAGAAAATTGCTAGGCGGACCTAAAGTAAATAGAAGAAAGGACCCAAGTGAAAAGGCTACAAGGCACACGGTCTCAAAGGTTGGAAAGAGAATTTTATGCAGTATGTGTAAAGAGGTTGTGCATAACAAGGTTACATGTCCTAAAGTTGACAAACCCCAAAAAACTTAAGGTCAAAAGGAAAAAGAAAGACAATGGTGGAAGTAATGGAGGTGAAGGAGGTAGTGGAACAAAAAAAATGAAGGCAGTAATCCAGGTGAAGGAGGAAGTGGAACAAAAACCAATGATGGGGGTAACAAATGGAGAAGGCACTACAAGGAAAAGGAAGTATTCTGAAAGGATTATAAAAAAGAATTTGGGTAAAAGGGTTGAAGGAAAGAATGGAGAAGGCAATACTAGTGCTAATCTACTAGATGTTGAATAAGGATAATGTGTTTGTTTTGTGTTTAAGTTGTTGGATGTTCTTGGATTTAGTTATGGATGTTTGTTGGATGTGCTTGGATTTACGTATGGATGTTTGATGCTTGTTTATTTTATATCTGGATTTTGTTACCTATATGTTTGTGGTTATGTTATTTGAGATCCGATATGCATGTTCATATTATGTAATGAACGTGCATGGTTGTGTTAATAAGTTTCTGTATTATTGTATATTTATGTGGTCCCAATTGTGGTCCACTAAACTAATTTGCGAATATAGTATGTCCATGCATATTAAAGATAAAGTGGGCCAAAAACTATGTTTTCATTACAACTTTTTTTGGTTCACAGAACCACATTTATCGAAATTAATAAAAATCAACAATAAATTACCATTCTTAACCAATTACAACTTGTACACTATTATGACAAAGAAAATAACCCAACTAACAAATAAACTAAATTTAAGCTTCCAAACATTGGACTGAAGCTTCTTATTTGACCTAAGCAGAGTTGCAAGCATCATAGCCTCACCAGTTGTGCTCGTTGTATGAATTTCATCTACCCAACAAATAAACCCATTTCGGGGATCCTGAGATTAGATATTTGTGAGAAACAAATGATTTATGCATCAAATAGTTTTCAAATCCAGGGCAACAACAAAACAAAAATTAAAATCAGTTTTTACCTTTTTGGGGAAAGCGTAAAAGGCTCGACTTGGGTTGCTCCGAGTTGTTGACGTTCGTATTATAACATCATACCCACAGGAACATGCCATTGGTTTGAAGCTTCCTTCCATCTTCATACCTTCAATTTGGACCGAGAGAAAGCCAACCAAGAAATAACAAAGAGTAAATGGTAACGGATCTATGTGACTGTATTTATTGGTGAGTACAATGTCAAATGACGAAAATACCCCCAACTATCTCATTAACTAAGGCAACAATTCTAGGGTTACTGTTATAAACATAGTTTATTTTAATGTTAAACTAATACATTGCTTATTCAACAATTACATATTGATTTATACAAAATGCCTGCTAACACGGGACTTCATCTTCCACTTCAAACGATTACACCAAAAAGACACTAATCCACATAAACCCTAATAGACAATATTGCAGATTAACACAAAAAACACAGACAAAGGGCGAGTCAACAAACAACATCAGAAGCACGATTACATTAGAGTGTGCATTTTGTCCACCAGAAAACCAAGCATCACCACCACTAGTTCCACCAGCACAACTGTCATAGCTTGCATCTTCTTATCCTGACGGTCTAATCTGCGCTGCACGACAAGCATTTCGACCCTTGATATCACAGAACCGCGCCCCATTTCCTCCTTAATGCGATCCATCTCCACCTGTGTTTTTGCCACTCTCTCTCCACAATCCCAAAAAATTGTTTGTATGTCACTAAAGTTCATCCGGTCTCGAGAATTTAACGAGATCGAATCTGGTGACGGTGGTGGGGTAGCCATCTCGTGATTATCGTAAAAGGGATTGTCTCCTTCTTGTCGGCAATTGTTTGGCCGAAAATGGGTATAATGTATTAGGGTTTGCTTTATTAAACCCTCCTTTTTATATATATTGGGACCACAATGACCCTTAGGGACCAAGCAACCGATTTGACTCAAATCGGTGACGTGTAGGGCAAGTCGACTCCGAATAAACTCATTACATGACTTGGAGTGTGACTAGGCTAAGAAACCTGTTATTACAGGTCATTGGACTACTTTAGCCGATAAAACTACATTTTGTTCCCCTTAAATGCCAAAAAAAAAAAAAAACAAACAAAAGGGACAATTTAAACCAAATCATGAAATTTCATAGGGCTACAGTAACATTTACCAATACCAATATTTTTAGACGAGGGATTCTATAACTAAAATGATCCATGGTGCTTTACGCGTAAAGATTTTAATGAATTATTGTCACGAATCATTCTTTCTTCATTGACGTAAAGTCCATGCTACTTGATACCTATGTGATAAAGACATAGGAGACAACAAGCCAAGAAATAAAAAGTGATGCTGGAATATGTATGAATACTCATAAAAATTAGATAAAATAGCAAATTATTTATACTGAATTTGAAGAAGATGAAATCATTTTGCAACAAACCTTCTAGGTAAAGAAAAACAATTTAATCATAAGTAAATTTTACAAATCAAAACACTTTTATAGTTCTATATATTTATATCAGTAGTCCATAATATCTGGTATTGACAATTGACATGTTGCATTTCGATCCAAATGATTGAGGATAAGTCACGAAAAAATAGTGTAATTTAAGACTAGATTAGATGCATCTCCTGTTCTAAAAAGCCATAACTTTTGCCATTAAGGATGACATATAGATAAATACATTTATCACGTCATATATAAATGATAAACCACAACCATTTTTAATTTTTTTTTTTTTGACATATTCAATCTATATGAGTGGCCATAAGTGAGCTGTGGCAAGACCTATTCAAGAGTCAAGACCTCGTGTTCATGCGTCATACGTCCTTTCTTCACACTCCACCTATTTATAAACCACCATCACCTGCAACAACCACTGCTATTCCGACAACAAACACCTCCATGGCCCACCCACCTGGTTATCGCTTCTACCCTACTGAAGAAGAGCTCCTTTCCTTCTATCTTCCCAATGAACTCGAAGCCCGAAGAGATGATCTTCATCGTGTTATCCCTGTAGTCAATGTCTACCAACATGAACCATGGCATCTCCCAAGTAACTAAATATATATTCTTCTTTTCTTAATATCCCTGTAGTCATTTATAGAGCTTTACGTATGGAAGTTTCGTTTGATACTTATACTGAAACCTAAGAAGGTTATATGTTCTTGTTGTGTTAGAGGAAGCGGGAGAATTATGCAGGGAGGATACTGAGCAATGGTTTTTCTTTGTACCGAAGCAAGAAAAGGAAGTGAAAGGAGGTCGACCTTCAAGAATGACAGCGACTGGTTATTGGAAAGCCACTGGTTCGCCTACGTATGTCTACTCATCTAACAATAAGGTGATTGGATTGAAGAAGACGATGGTGTTTTACCATGGGAAGTCGTCTGGAAGCAAGAAAACAAAGTGGAAGATGAATGAGTATCGGGCAATCAAAGAAGAACTCGATGCCACCAAAAAGTTTTTGGTTCCAGAGGTATACATATATATGGACTTAATTGATGAACTTTTTGTGATATGAGTTTGATAATTTGCAAAATGATCATGTGGGATGAATCTGTGATATTTTGAAATGTAGGGTATATATTTTGCTCCAACTTTTTGGCAGATTAAAACACCATTTTCTTAGTGTTAATGCAAACTGACCTACCAAATTGGTGGATCGGTATTCATTACACCAAAACACTATGAATTTGGTTTTATACATATTAAATTGATAAATATTTAAAATTATTTTACATTAAATATATTATTATAAAATTTAGTTCAAGAGATTTGGAAAAAATTGAGTATTAAATAACATTTTTTGTAACATAAAATCTATTGAAAACTAAGTAATTTTAACAATAGTATAATACTTAAAATAATATAATAATGAGAAGAAGATACTATTCTATATATTATAAGATGTTATATATCTTTTGTGATGTTATTTTTAGTGTATGGTTAAAATAAAAGAAATATTAGAGTTGAAAACTCACGAATATAAAATTCTTATGGTTGAAAATATCCTTAATATAACAAATTCATGTTTTCAATGTTTTTGGAACTTTTATTAACATCAAGGTTCTAGTAAGTACTTGTACGGAAAGAATTTTGAGCAATGGAGGACCATTGCTTCAAATTAAGGCTTCTTTCTTTTTAAGCAAACAATAATTCTTAGCTTTAGTTTTTCCCATGTTTTTTGGAGCCGGGTTTTAGTTTGCTATATATATCGTTCAAATATGTATGCTATATAATGAGATTTTGCGAACTTATGCAGTTACAAAATCAGCTGAGCTTATGCAGAGTTTATGTGATATCAGGAAGCGTACGAGCATTTGATAGGCGGCCTTTAGGGCTAGGAACATATGAGATTGGTTCTTCAAGTTTGTTATCATCTTAGTGAAGACCGGTTACTTTGAACCTAATTAACATGTCATGGCTAGGAGGAACTAGCCTCCTCATCTAATTAATTGATCGTGTTTTTATTCACTTGAATTAGGAATTTTCTACTTATTTTACTTTTGAACAATGTACACAATTCTGTTATCCATCACTCTTCGATTGACACATTTTTTTTTTTTACATTTTTGTTTCCAAAAGTCATATTTGTGGTGTTCATTACTAGAATCAAGTAACTAATTAATCATAGTAAAGTAATGAGATTGATGATAATTAGATATTAATACATTAACACCCTCAAAACTAATGTTATAAACTTATATCACGGGACACGGATATCAAGGCGCTGATATGTTAACTCAATCGGTTTCCAAATTAATTCCTACGGATCTTCAATTTGTTAGTCAAAGCACGTAATGAGGGCATTTAAATACACTGATATTTAAACTCAATAAGACAGTCCAACAACATAAAATAACATAGAAATCAATCTACAAGTCTATAAATAAAAGTTGAACAAATATGAAATAAGTCAAAATTTAGTTTTCAGTTGTAGATTTCTTCGGATAAGGTTTATCAATGTACTTATATGTTCACTCAATCAGTTTCCAAATTTCATAGGTATCTTTAGTTTATTCAATCAAGCATTTAACATGGTTTGAAAGTTGACATATTTATCTCCCATTTCAATGTATTAAAAATGTAAACTCAATAAGACATTCCAACAACATAAAATAACATACAAAACTATTTATAAGTTTACAAATCAAAATAAAGGTGAATTATAAATAAGTAAAATTTTTGTTTTCTTAGTAGTAGATGTATGAATGTCGGATATATCAGTATGCTAATATGTTAACTTAAACAATTTCCAATTTTAATTTTATACGGTTCTACAAATTGTTAATCCAAACATGTAACATGAGTTTGGAAGATGACATGCATGCTGGTCGGATATTTTAACTAGATGAAGACCCGGTATCCTGTTGGCGTGGGTTTGGATTGTTCAGGATATTTTTTGGTTATTATTTATTGGTTGAATTTTATAAAATAAAGCAAAGCATAAGGTTTTTTAGAGTCTTTATTGTAAGAGAATATAATACAATAAAATTAAAAAACTTAAAGTGCTCGTGATATGCTATGTGAAAGGAAGGGCGTGTTTGACACAAAACTTTTATAAGCGTTTGGGAGCTTCTAGTTTTTAAATTTTGATAAAACGTTCTAGTTTAAACAAAAAGCTTTGTTTGGTAGTACGAACGTTTAGCTTTTAGTTTTAACAAAACGCTCCAATTCTAAAAGCTACTTCATGTTGCGTTTAACAAAACGCTCCTGAGCTGTTGAAATCAATTTCCATAATTCTCCTTAAAATTATATATATATATATATATATATATATATATATATATATATATATATATATATTGTCCTTTTATGTAATTTTATATATTTCAAAAGTTTCCAGCTGCTTTTGTCAAACATTCATATAACAAGTAAAAGCTACAACTTCCCGCAACCAGCTACATGCTACACGCTACCAGCTACCCGATATCTGCTTCCAGCTAACAACTACTTTTGCCAAACACGCTCGAAGAAGGACATTCAATGAGTAATACTTTCCCTTTGAATACCCAATATCTCTTATGTATCTTTCCCAGGGAAATAATCCCCAAATTTATGGAAAGAAACAGTCATGACCCAATCAATAGTGTAAAAAGCCTCCATCCTCTACACTATCACGTGGTGAACATCAACATAAACAATTTAAACTCATAGCCTTTATGCATGCACATCTAGCCTTCACCATTAGATATGTTTCGTAAAATCTAGGAAGCCTCTTCCTTCCATGTGTGTCAATCCAAACACTTGTTGAAAGTAATTTTATAAATCAACATTAAAAAGTTAAAAAAAATTAAAAAAAAAAAAAAAAAAAAAAAAAAAAAAAAAGTGGATTGTAAAATTTCAGCTCACCCTAGTTTGTGATCCCGAGACTTCCTGAAACCTTCTTTTGGATAAATGATCACTTGATTGTTCTCCTAATGAAAAATGTGGTCGTTGTAGATAAAAAGATGATTCATACATCATAACAGAGAACTTATTAGTCATGAAATTACATATGAACTTATAATTTATCTTACCTAGAAAGGACATGCCACAAGATTCCCAAATAGCTTAAATCTGCGGCTCTAATGGAATAAAATAGATCATGTTCAGCATTCTTTGATTATTGCTTGAGAGAACCAATAAAATTCAGAATATTACATTATCTTGAGCATTTATATGAACATTTTATGTGCACTTTACTTCAGTACATTAAGAGCTTATGTAGCTTAATTTTTAACATCATTCTCATTAACTCCTTCAGTAGTAACCTCCCTCTATGATTCAATTCAAATACACCCATTATAGAAAAAAAATTGATAAACAAAACAAAATTCTAAGATATTCCAGTTCGTGTTAATTTAGGATTTTGTTTAACTAAAATGGAACACCCCAAAATACGGTCCAAAAATTTCTTTTTTAAAACATTAATAAACCATAACTCATAAATTATTATAAATAAAATCATAAATCATGTGTCTCAAAACATCACATCAAATGTTGTATCAAATCATATGACAATATATCAGAGTCTAAAGCGCTCTAGGCTGAATTATGGTGTGTGTGCTGCAATCATCCCGAACCTTCCCATTGCTAGTGGAAGTACCTGAAAACAAAACTATAAACCATAAGCACGAAGCTTAGTGAGTCCCCCCAAGCTACCACATATTATACACATAATCACATATTGGGCCTAGCCTACTACATCGGGCCCCATCGGCATCGGACTGAGGTCCGCCATAACTTGGGCCTAGCCCCTGCATTGGGCCCTGCCCAACATCAGATCGAAGTCCGATATACATATCATCTTAACAAGCATAACATATACATAAATATAAGCATAACATGAAAACTAATATTCCTCGGGCTCGCCCCGGCATCGGACCAAAGTCCGGAACACATAAGCATACACATGCAAGAATCACAAAGACATGTAAGTTCCGGAACATAAAATCTACATCGGGCTAACCCTAGCGCATACAATCTATCACACTCCCAAACCAAGGATGGCGGAAACGTCCGGGGGCAGAGGACTTCATGTATAGTATCACAACAATGAGTATAATAGTGCTCAAAGTAAATACAACCATCATAAATATAATTGATGGTGTTTACATGTTTCAAATCAATTACATTATGATGACAAAATGAACTGTTTGACGATTTAACGTCTCATCCTCAAAATGTTGTGGGTTTTCCTGTTTCACTGATTTTCTGAGAATACAAGTAGTTTTGAAACAGTATCAACAATTAAGTTGGTGAGTTCATAAGAGTTTTGTTTGAGGAAGAAACCGTTTTCTTTGTAAAAATCGACAAAGTATGTTTCCAGAAATCCAATATTTTCTTTATCAAGTGTGAAATGAATGCTTCTATGTTATGCGATAATGAACCGTAGAAAGACCCGTAGATTCCTTCTATAATCACCCAATGTATATAAGCTATATGAGATTTAAATTAAATAAGCCGTCAAATATAATGGGTCTGTCCTAGGTCCACAACTAAACAAGGAACATGAAAAAGGCGGACCCACCAGTGGCGGAACATGTATAGGGCCGGGCGGCCATGCCCCCCCCCCCCCCTGATTTTTTACTGATGAATACCTCTATTTATAATAAGACCAGTCAAAAAAAAAAAATTTAAGCCAACTTTTTGGCCCCTCCGTTTATCATAATTGACTAATTAATTCCAAAAAAATCAAGATACTAACTGTTTAGGAAACATAATCTCAAAAATTTACGGAAAAATCATAACCAAATGGTGATTTTAAAAAGATACTAAATGTTAAAGGAAACTAAAACTCTATAAATAAGCCCAAAAACCTGTTCTAATTCACATTCTATTAACGCACTCCTTCACCAAATATTAAGCCTTAATCTGAAGAATCCTTCAGCAAATATTAAGCCCTAATCTGAAGAATATATTGTCGTCGGAAAATTTGCTCACCGGAAAATAATACCACCAACGGAGTACTCAAATCTGCCGGAATTCTCACGGATGAACATCGTTGCTACTGCAGGAGATCTCATCACTTCCTCTATTCTCTCTGCCATTGCTGAACTCTATGCTTTGTGCTTTTGCCGGATTTGTAAAGTTTTTCTTTTTCTCATTCATTCTCTATCTTTCTATTTCTCTTTCTGTTCTAGAATGCGATTAGAAAAATTGTTGGAATAGGAAAATGATATAAAGTGGTAATTGAAAACCTGTCAAAGTAAAACTAAAGGCTGCAACAACATTTATTTATTACTTGTTAATTTATCATATTTTATTAAAGGGAAAATGACTCTTGAGGGTAATTAACTTTTGCGTTTGTACTCATTTGGTCCCTTTTTTTTTTTTGTATTCAATATACCATTGAACTTGTTGTTGGTGTTTACCATAGCCCTTTTGACCGGCTTTTGACCTGTGATAGCCGGTCAAAGGGTTATGGTGAACACAAACAACAAGTTCGATGGTATATTGAGTACAAAAAAAAGGAAAGGGACCAAATGAGAACAAACGCAACAGTTGGTTACCCTCCTGATTCATTTTCCCTTTACTCATTTACAACAAATCTCACATCATCTCCTACTGATATTAATGACTTTATGAGATTCATTTTTGCTTCTCTTCAAAACATAACCTACGAAAGGACATTATTCATACATGTACAACTTTGTAATGCACTTAAATATTTATTAGGGGAATCTTGACTAAGCAGGCGCATTTCATGACTACATTTACATTTTCAATCAAATGATTTATCATATCATGGATTCTAGACAAGTCTACAAACAAGTGGAACCACAAGTGCTATGATTTTTGAGTTTACTTAGCTTTAAGATCGAACTCATGGGATAAGATGTTGGATAAGGTGTCTAAGTTCATAACTTATTTGGTATATACTTGATCCGACTCGGCATGGTCCATTTGGGTTGCACTTCACCCGAACTATTTATGGATAATTTTATGAGAGTTATAAACATATGCTTATTAATATATTATAAGTTATAATATATTAATATGAAGTCATGTTATTTAATTAGTCTTAGTCTTAAATTAATTATGAATTAATTTAGAGATTAAAAAGAAGA